CCCAGGCTATAGGATCAGGCCTAAAGGTGCAGGCCTGTGTTCTAACAATTCTAAGTAGAATATGATGTTTCCTTGTTAGTGAACTAAGCAAAAACTTTTAAAACAATCCGAGGGGCCCTGTGGCATGAGTCAGTGGGTAAGGTGCTTGCTGTCAAACATGATGACCTGAATTCGATCCCTGGGGTCCACATAGTAGAAGGAAAGAATTCCTGCGAGTTATTCTCTACCCTGACACACACAATAAATACATACAAGCAAAAACTAAGGGCATGGTGGCACACGCCTCTGATCCCAGCATTCGGAAAGCAGAGGCAGGCAGATCTGAGATCCAGGACAGCTGGGGCTAGGGAGACCCTGTCTTAGTAAGAACAAAAAAAAAAAAAAACCCCAAAACTCGTAAAAACTAAAACCAAAAAAAAAATTAATAAATAAATAAATAAATCAATAAATAAATCCTAGGGACTGGAGAGATGGCTCAGCAGTTAAGAGCACTGATTGTTCTTGCAGAGGACCCAGGTTCAATTTCCCAGCACCTACATGGCAGCTAACAACTGTCTATAACTCCAGTTCTAGAAGATCCGACAGTTTTCCAATCTCCGAGGGCATTGCACGACACAGGTGCACTTACCTACATGCAGGCAATACATGCATACACATAAAAATAATAATTAAAAAAAAACACACAATGAGCCAGATGTGGTAAAACATTCCTGTAACTCCAACACTCAAGAAGTGAAACCAAGAGGATCTGGAGTTCAAAGCCAGCCTTAACACATGGGACACTGTCTCAAAAAAAAAAAAAAAAAATTAAAAAAATTCTCAGTGACAAAGCTGTCAAGATGGTTCAGAGAATAAAACGTTTGCTCCAAGCCCGATGACCTGAGTTCAATTGCCAGGACTCATATGGTGGAAGGAGAGAACCAATTCCCGAAAGTTGTCCTCTGCTCTCCACACGTGTACTGTGGTGTGTACACACACACATATATTCACATGAGCACACACATATACACACTAAATTAATTTTTAGAAATTAAGAGGGGCTGGAGAGATGGCTCAGTAGTTAAGAACACTGGTTGTTCTTGCAGAAGACCCGGGTTCAAATCCCAGCACCCACATGGCAGCTAACAACTGCCCATAACTCCAGTTCCAGGGGATCCAACAGCCTCTTCTGTCCTCCGAGGGCACGGCACTACATGGGTGCACTTACCTACATGCAGGCAAGTCACACATACACATAAAATAAAAATAATGAAGTATTTTTTAAAAAAAGAAATTAAAAGAAACCTCAAGGAAATGTGATGTTTCATAAATTTTGCGTGGGATGCGTATTGTGTATGCATGTGAATACAGGTGCATGTGGAGGCCAGAGGAAGACATTAGGCGTCGTGCTATGTCACTTTTTGCCTTAGTGCCCTGAGACACAGTCTCTTAATGAACTTGGAGCTCATAATTTTGGCTGGGTTGGCGGACCCAAAAGCTCCCAGGATCAGAATGTTCCCCTCCTCCCAATGCTAGGGTTACAGGCATGGGAGGCCATCCCTGGCTTTTTTTTTTTTTTAATATTTTTATTTTATGTGTATGAGTATATTGCTTGCATGTATATAAGTGCACCCATGTCCTACAATGCCCACAGAGGTCAGAAGAGGCTGTTGGATCTCCTAGAAATGAAATTATGGACAGTTGTTAGCTGCCATGTGGGCGCTGGGATTCAAACCCGGGTCTTCTGCAAGAAGTCAGTGATTTTAACCACTGAGCCATCTCTCTAGCCCCCATCCCTTTTAAATAGGTGCTGGTGATTTGAATTCAAGTCCTCATGCTTGCATAGCATACATAGCACTCTTACCCACTGAGCCAACTCTCCAAACAGTATTTCATAATCAAGACACAGACCAAAGACAAGGACTAAGGAAGCCAGGTTGCAAATTCCAAGAATTAAACAGATGAAATTAATACTAAGAAAAATATTTATTTTTATTTTTTTCTTTTTGTAGTGTTGGGATTGAATCTAGGGCTGTGCGCACTCGAGACAAGTGCTTTACCACTGAATTACACCCCATCCCTTAAACCATTGTGTGCATGCCAAGTGTGCAAGCTGAGGCATGCAAGTGCAGAGGCCAGAGGCTGGCATCGGATGTCTTCCTCAATTGCTCTCCAAATTAATTTTTTTTAAACTTGTTTTTGGTGTATGAGTGTACTGCCTGCATGTGTTTAAGTGCACCCATGTAGTGTAATGCCCAAGGAGGTCAGAAGAAGGTGTTGGATTCCCCTGAAACTGGAATTACAATTGTTAGCCGCCATGTGAGTGCTGGGAATAGAACCCAGGTCCTCTACAAAAGCAGTCAGTGCTCTAAACCACTAAGCCATCTCTCCAGTTCCCATCTTTATTTTTAAGAAAAGGTCTCTCTCAGTAAACCTGGAGTTCACCAGTTTCAGCTGGACTGGTTGACCAAGGGTCTCAACCTGTCGTTCCCCGCCCCCCGCACCCGCCGAGTGCTGGGGTTACATTTGTGCACCACCACACCTTTTACATAAATTCTTGGAATCCAAACTCAGATCCTCATGTTTACACAGAAAGCACTTTCTCCACTGAACTGTCTCCCCAGCTTACCCTGAAATCATTTTTTTAAAGGCTTTTTAGGGGCTAGAGAGATGGTTCAGTGGTTAAGAGCACTGGTTGCTCTTCCAGAGGACCCAGGTTTAGTTCCTAGCACCTACATGGCAGCTAATAACTGTCTGTAACTCCACTTTCAGGGTATCTGATGCCCTCTTCTGATCTCCAAAGGCATTGCTCATGTTGTACAGGCAAAATACTTAAACACACAAAAAAAATAAAACTGTTTAAAAAGCCTTTAATGCTATACTAATTCAAAGCCAAGTATAGAAAATCTAGGCCTGACTATATTTCTCATGTTTTCCCTTTTTTTCGGAGGGGGAGGGAGCATAGATATGGGGATGCTGGAGATGTAACCCCGTGGAATCCTCACAAATGCTGGACAAGCACCGTATGTACACCACTGCACTGTATAGTAGGCCTCACCTTTTCCTTCTTAAACTTTTTTTCCTTTGGTCTTTCCTTGAGACAAGGTCTCTCTGTAGCCACAGCTGGCCTGGATTCGCTATGGAGACCACACTGGCCTCGAATTCAGAGATCCACCTGCCTCTGACTCCTGAGTGCTGGGATTAAAGATGTGCAACACCACCAAGGCTTTAAAGTCTTCTTGAGAGTAAAATTTCAGTTTTAATTCCAGGCTCCTTATTCTAGAGCTGTTTCACAGGGCATGAATGTAAAAATCATAATGAAAAGGTACTTTGCACATCAGAGTTTTAAAGCTGTGCTTTAGGTTCAAGTTTTATGTGACAGATCTACAAGTACTCTGTTAGTGGCAGAATTAGGATCCAGATGTACTGATTCCCAGTCTCATACATTTTCTCATTATTTATTGACTCCAAAAATGTGTATAAAGCACTCACTACATGCTGGGTACTGTTTTTAGTGCTCAGGGTACATCACTGAGTAAAACACACAAACATCCCTGCTTTTTGGAGAGTGGATTCACACTGTGATACATATACCAAGCATAAATCTTGACAATAACATCATTGCTTTTTTTTCTTTCTTTTTTTTTTTTTTTTGGTCTTTTTGAGACAGGGTCTCCCTGTAGCCCCAGCTGTCCTGGAACTATGTAGACCAGGCTGGCTTTGAACTCACAGAGATCTGCCTGCCTCTGCCTCCCAAGTGCTGGGACTACAGGCGTGCGGGACCACGCCTGGATACATCATTGCATTTTTATAAACACAGATTTCTTCCATGTTTACATATTTCTATTGTTTTGAGAGTGTTTGGCAATGCCGAGGCTGGGATTACAGGCTTCCACCACCACAACCAGATTCCAAGTTGTTTATCTACTTATCTATTTATTTTGAGTACTTATCTCCTAATGTGCACCTACTCAAGGAAGCAGTTCATCTTTTTTCTGTGTCACGCTTGGGTTTCCAAGGCTGAAAAGAGGTTCCGCAAAGAAACCTCCAATGGAGAGTTAACACCTCGGCTGGAAAGTTCATTTAATACCTTTTCCTTTTCTTAAAATCAATGGGTGGAGGACATTCTATTTCTTGGCATCACGTAGCAAATGTCCAGAAAGGAACCTACACTTTAAATGTCATCCTTGTGCATACTAAACTGTTTGTATTCCTTAGTTCTTTTTCCCCAACACTAGACTCCGTACTTGGAGCTGCTGCTACTGTTTACAAATCTCAAAGTCCACCTTCCATATTCTCCCCACTTGCCCACCCATTCTCTTCCTTCCCCACACCCCCTCAACAACTTACCGAAATAAAAGTTTGTTTCACATTTACTTCCTGACAACTGCAAGGTGTCCTGACTACAACACCTTGCGTTTTGCTTCAGGGCCATTTGTATCATTTGGGTCCCCAGAGGAGACCAGGAGGAACAGGAATGGGGGACGGGGGTGAGTTGAAGCATCGCAATCCCGACCAAACTGGAGAGGCGGGTCAGAAGGGAAGACGTAAAGGAGGCGTTCACCAGGTTGCCGCAGGACTCGGCCCCTTCCACTATTTGCCTTCTTCCGGGCCCTGCTTCTTGCTGCCACCCACCCCTTCCTCCACACGTCCCAAAGCCACCGAAAGCTCGGCCCGGGCCTCCGCGTGACAGGGTCCGGGACCCCGGGAGTCCGCGGGCAGACGGTTCCCGCAGGTCTGAAGCCCACCCCCGCCCTCCCCGCGCGGCGTTCCGGCCCACACGCCGCCGCTCCCGCCCCCGCCGCGCCTCAGTCCCCGGAGCCGCGCTCGAGTGTCCCGGTCGCCTCCGGTCTCCCCTCACTCGGGACAGGGAAGGGCGCCGCACTACTCGCGGCCGGGCAGGCAGTGTAGCCCTCGCTTCCTCCCGCCCCTCGTCCCGTATCGCTCTTGCCCTCAGGCCGGGAAGGCGAGGTGTGGAAGCCCGGCCCCACCACCCGGCCGGGGCTTGTTTACTCACTCACCCTCCATCCTGAGCCGCAGGGACTCGCTGCTAGGACGCCTGCGCGCCGCGGCCACGCCCCTGCGGTACGGCCACGCCCCCTCCGCACGCCTGCGCACTGAGCGGCGGGACACGGCGCTGCCTTCTTCGCAGGTTTGGGGAGAACCAACACTTCGGAGGCTGAGGCAGTGCAACCCCATCCTGGCGCTGTAGGATGAGAGGAAGAGCTCTGGAAAATTCTTCGTGGAGCCACTGATATCTTCTTATTTTATTTTTTATCTTATGTGTAAGTGCACCATGGGCGTGCAGTACCCACGGAGGACAAAAGAGGGCTTCGGATCCCCTGGAACTGGAGTTACAGATAGTTTTTAGCTGACATGTGGGTGTGGGATTCGAACCCCTGTCTTCTGCAAGAGCAGTCGGTGCTCTCAATCACTGAGCCATTTCTTCAGCCCTGATAGTTTCTTGAAGACTTTATTCATCAGTGCACCATCTCCACCGTGTTGCCAAGTCACATCCCAAGGGTCTGAAGCCAAAGTAGAAACCCTTTCTCCTAATGCCTCCCACCTACTGATACCTCAAATACCTGTGTGGGCCCTGAGTTCTTATTTGCACCTGAGTGCTCTATGTCTGTCAGTAGTTGTCCCTTCACTCAAAAAACACGTTTGTATCAATATCTCCCCGCAAGCTACTTGATAGTCACCAGTAAGAAACATCAATCACCAGTGATGAAAGATATTCTTAGCAAGTACTTTTATTTCTTTTTAATATTTTTATTACATTTATTTTTGTGTGAGTGTAATGCACGAATACAAACTACAGTGCTCATGTGGAGGTCAGGGAACAACTTTCAAGAGTCCGTTCTTCCACCATGTGGGTCGCTGGGATGGAACTCGGGTCACCAAGCTTGGTGGCAAGCACCTCTACACACTGAGCCATCTAGCCAGCTTGAGGCAGGCACTTTAAAATTTTTTTTAATTTTTATTTTTTTATGTGTATGAGTATTATGCTTGCATGCATGTAAGTGCACCTGTGTTGTGCAGTGCCCAAAGAGGACAGAAGGGGGTGTTGGACACCTCCCCCAGAACTGGAGTTACAGACAGTTGTTAGCCACTATGTGGGTATTATTTGAAGCTGGGTCTTCTGTAAGAACAGCCAGTGCTCTTAACAACTGAGGCATCCTCCAGCCCTGGCAGGTATTTCAACATGATGCAATGAAAAGGGCATAAAATCACTTGTATGTGTTCCTGAAAAAAATTCATGAGCCAAGTTTATTTTCTATTTTTTAAAATATTATATTTATTTATTTATTTGGATTTTTTAAGACAGGTTCTCCCTGTAGCCCCCAGCTGGCCTAGAACTCACTATGTAGACCAGGCTGGCCTTGAACTCCCAGAGATCCGTCTGCCTCTGCCTCCGGAGTGCCAGGATTAAAGGCATGTTCCACCATGCTTGGCTATTTTTTTTATTTTATGCCTATTAGTGTATTGCCTACGTATAGGTAAGTGCACTGGTGTTTTGCTATGCCCTCGGAGGTCAGAAGAGGGTGTTGGATCCTCTGGAACTGGAGTTACAGACAGTTGTTAGCTGCAATGTGGGTGTGGGATTCAAACCCAGGTTTTCTGCAAGAACAACTACTGGTCTTAACCCCTGAGCTGTCTCTCCAGCCCCAAACCAAATTTATATATTTTAAATTATTATTTACTTATTTCTTTTTGAGACAGGGTCTCCCTGTAGCCCCAGGTAGCCTGGCACTCCCTATATAGACCAGGCTGGCCTTGATCTCACAGAGTTCTGCCTCCCTCTGCCACCTGAGTGCTGGGACTAAAGGTGTGTACCACCACATGCAGCTTATTTTTTTAACTTTTTTTTTTTTTTGTCTTTTTGAGACAGGGTCTCCCTGTAGCCCCAGCTGGCCTAGAATTCAGAGAGATCTGCTTGCCTCTGCTGGGATTAAAGGTGTGTACCACCAGGACTGGCTCAATTTAAATGGTGCAAAAGA